TCGCACTAATAATTATTGGTTTGAAATGACATTAGATTAGACGATGTACGATTAGTGCAAGATTTTTAGACTGATAAAAAATAAAATTCAAAAATACGAATTTCCATTAGTGCACTAAAATCATAATCTAATGTTTTAGTGTACTAAAACATTCGCCAATGATTAGTCCAAGCTCAAAAATAGACCCCCTGATCACAACCTTGTCAAACATTTTAATCGTATATTGGTTTATTAATATCGACATAATAAATAAATAATATAAATTAACATTCTAATATTAATAATAATATAAAATTATAAAACTTAAAGTCAAGAGTAATTGTATAATTTTATAACTGTTTTTATATTTATATTTATTTTACTTTAATTAACCTGATAATAAACCCAAGGCCGAAACTATAGTAGTTATATTTGTAAAATTTTATAATTCTCTTGATTTTATTTTTTATTTTTTTATATTGTTACTAATATTAAAATCCTTATTTATATTATTATCTTTGAGTATTAAACTAATTTTATATAGTATTAAATAAAAATAACAAAATTTTTGCAAAATATTTAAATTTTTCTAACCAATATTCAGTGTTTTATAATTAACTTAGATTTTAGTCTTCATTTCCAACTATTTAGATACTAATAGCTTATTTTTCTTATATTATTTCCTGTTCATGAAAAACTTAGACATAATTTAACGCGTATATTACTCACTATTCTTGATTTTATCGAGTGATTTATGCATTGGTTATTAAAAATAAAAAATGTAATACTACTTGAAAATAGAATAACAAGCTTTAAAGTGACAAATCATGTAATAAAATTATTCTTATCTACATTTATTTTTGTAGCTCTCATTGTTATCACATAAACTATATGAGCAAGTGCCATGAAATTCGCGTGATCAAGTATAAATATTCGATTACATAAACTTCTCTGCGTTTCAGAATTTTTACTATTACAAAAAAAGATATTCAATAAAAAAAATTCATAATTCTATTTAACACTATCTTACGTCATATAAAATTAAAGTATTATAAAATATGTATATATTATTTAAATACTTTGTGTGTTAAATACTATTACAAATAAATTTATAAGATTTTAAATTAAAATAGTACATATACTTGTACAACTGGTATTATGTAATGTAATTATAATTAAAAAATTCTTATAAAAAACATAATGCTAATAAGCAAATTTTTTTTAATAAACAATTTTTATTCATAATAAAAATACTTTAAGAATTCTTCATGTAATCAAATTATTAAATGCGGTCGATACAACATGTAATTTTTCGACCTGAAATTTAAGCAATTATATACAACTTAAAATAATTATGATTTGTGATATAATAGTAAATTGGGGTTATTACTATAATTTTTTATTTTTGGTCGATTTTAATCGTTTCAAGATATCGTCTACTCTAGTAAACAACTCAGCTGCTCACGATATCAGACATTATAAAAAACCACACCACAAAGGGCTCGCTTATGACGATGAGGGGGTAAATGACAACATCTCGCGTAGTATTGTAAGAAGGGTGCTAACATGGCAAGAGTGCGACGGAGGGTTGAAAATTATTTTTCTCCTCCATGACACACTTTACCGTACGCATGGGCCAGCAGGTGCCGGCTACAGTCGTGCGTGCGCGCGCCACCTTAGTGACAGAGAAAGCAGAGGTGGATAGGCAGTTTGTTTACTTCGGCCGTGCCGTTCGCTCGTACAATGCTACCTCTTTGTGTTTTTTTTTCGGTTCGATCCAACACTACTTGTTCAAAATAGTGTTAAAGTGCTAAAAACAACTTTTCCTGTTGTTCCTTATACTGATTTATTAATGTTTGAAATATCTTCTGTGTTGGCTGTGTGTCATAGTTATTATTTATATTCTTAAAGTTCATACTGTTGTATGAAAATAGTAAGAATTGAATAATTAAGTATTATACATTAAATTTATTTTAAAAATTTGATCTAATAATTTTTAGTGATAATCAGTGAATAATTATTTTTATAAAAATTGACTACAATTTTTTACAATCCAGTTATAGCATATTTGCAACACCAAAGTAAGCGTAATATTTTTTATTTACCAGTATGTAGGCTTATTATTTACTACCAATAACAGATTGTATCTGTGGTATCTACAGGAATGAAGTCAAGAGTTTGATAAGTCATATCCTTGCTATATAAACAAAATAATCCTTTAAAAATATTGCCCACAAACAGAAATATGTTAATATGTTTTTGTTCAATTTTCCTTATATACCTTGGTTTTTATCATTTATAACTTTAAAATTTTATGTTTTTCTTTTAAGATAAAAATCAGTAAATTCTTAAGTCATTCAGTTCATTTGGTACTGTTAGAATAAAATATTTAATATATGATTGTAATAAGAGTTTCAACTTTTTGCTGATTACTTACTCAATGAAGTTTTATTTTAAATAAAATAATGTTTTGGATTTCATTAACATAACTCAATAATATTTTATAAAATTTTATACTTATGTATAAAAATATTCCATTTATCACTATACTATAAAATTTATCTTTCATTTTTATCTGAATAAGTATTTAATTTATTGTCTTTCTATTGCTAAGATGGTGAGAAACATTAAGTTAACTGCATTATTGCTACCATTTAATTGGTAGAATAAATAAATGATTGTCCATTAACTCAAATCAGTAAATTATTTTTGTATACTTAAAATATACAATAAAACTCAATTATAAGGTAATGGTAAATAGTATACGATCAATATGAAGCATCAGTATGTGTATATTTTTATTAAATTATTAAATAATGATAATAGTTAATTTATATAATGTTTTAAGATAAATATTACATGAGTATTAATGATCAATAAAATAGGTAAGTCTACATAGTTATATTGTTTTATTTTAATGGTAATTATTTTTCTTGTAAATAAAATGAGAATTAGTCTCCAAGAAATAAACAATTTTTTAATAATAGTTTTATTATCACTTTTTGGTTTTATCATCCAAAGTTTATATTAAACAACTTCCTTCACATAAATTCTAATTAATTAGTGTATTAAGTGATGAATCAAATGAAAAATTAAGTGTTTTATAGTTATAGGTATTAGTCTTATTGGCAATGCATTCATGATGTTATTAAAGGACATAAAAGTGGGCTATCTACTATCATTTAGAATTTAAACATATTTTTTCATTAGTACTATACATAGCCTTTTAATGTATAATTTTACTAACAATTAGATTTTCTACAATTTAACAAAAAATATTAAATATAAAAAAGAAATTATTTTTATCTTGCAAATCTTCAAATTTTGATGTTATAATAAGTATTTTAACCTTAAAAGATGGAAATAGTACTTTATAAAATACCCTAGCTATTTTCTTTTTTCTTTTGATAAATAGAAATTTTTAACTTAGGAAGTATACATAGTTCAATTATAAATATGACATGGCCCAATGCTTAGTTATCAGGGTTCAATTTAATTTCATTGTACTTTTCTATGAAAGTATTCTTGTTTTCTCTATAATAGGCAATATTTGTGTACAAGGTGATTATATATCTATGACTCTTGTATCTTGATCATATATAAATATAAAACATAATATAATTTTTTCTTCTCAAGATATAACTGTATACTTTGTTCTAAAATTTTCAAAAAAATATTGGTCCCATCAGTTGATAACATTTTAAGGGGGAAAGAGACGCTTCTCTTAAAAATGTTTTCAACGTTTGTTTTTTAAATGTAAACATATATGTTTAACTAGCTTTAAAATAAGAAAATGACTGGTTGATAACAACTTTTGTATCAGTATTTTATAAGTCACTACTATAATTACACTTAACTATGTTGACTGGAGGTAAAACATAGATCTTTTTATTTTTTATCTCTAGGCATCTATTAACCTCACTATTACTCCCAACTTAGTATAATAGTGCTAATATCTTTTTATTAATAGTTCAAAACTTATTATTGACTAGTAATTACCTTATTTGTAAGATACTTAAAATATATTTCTATTACAAAACTAAATTTGATACAACTTTAAGAAGTAGGGGAGTAGAAATAGAACCAAATTATTTTGGAAAATTATAGAGCAAAAAATATTTTAAAAATGTACTATATATTTTATTTTTCAATATTGCACAAAAGTTAAACAATCAACTTGCTTATAAATTATGACACTTAATGATCCTAATGATACTTATTAAAACAAGTGTGCATTTTATAAATTATTCATATTATTAGTAAAATAGTGACCCATAATTGCATTTCTTGAAGGGATAAATAAAAAAAATTGTTTTGTGCAATATTAATTTATATTCCATCATATTTTTTACATTTATTTATTATAATATTATCTAAATAATTATAAAATTATTGAATAATATTTTTTCATTATAATATACAATCTAATAGGCAAATCAATAACATTTTTCATTTATTTATAAAATTATATTTTATAAATTGTTTTATATTTAAAAAAAACAATTATGTTCAGTATAATTCTGTGTAATTTAATGCTTTAAAGATAATAGGTATTTATCAATTTGACACTTCCATAAAAATATTTTTTATGTTATTTTATTAAAAGTATTTATAAAATGGATCAATATTTGAAAGAGTACAAAAACTATTGTTGGCGATTACTTTAATAAACAAACTTAAATGTATTAATCATTTTAGATCTACAATTTCTGAATATCGTAACTTTTAAAAAAAATTTTTACGACTCATTGTGTGATACATTAATATCTTTTAATTTTTATTGCGATCGTGAAAACGGTAAGTTTCGTTAGATAAATTTAGTTATTGTTCCTTTTAATTACGGGACATCATCATAATATATATTTACTCGTTGAAATATAATATATTCTAACGATGCTATTATTTTGTATCATAAAACAACGTCGTTAAACAGCTAAGATGTAATAAATAATAATCTTGTAATAAAAGTTCAATGATTCGACTTGGGATGAGTATTCGAGGATATATTTTGAGACTTCATGGGTAGTAATTGGAAATAAAACTGTTTAAATTAACATGTTTATTATCATCAAAAATAAAATGCAGTAATAAATGTGTATTTTTACGTTCATCACACCCACTGCTAGACGTATTTGACTAGTTTTTATCGACTAAAGAGTACTCTATCTTACATCAGATAACGCTTAGCTGAACTCCTACAGCTCCACTATGACCAGCAATCACTTAAAAAAGATTTTATCAAACCTGTTGACAGTTAACCAGAAGCGGCTATAACCATACGATTGTAGAAACTGCTTTTATTTGCTATACTAACTTGGAAAATTAGTGTGGATCCTGGAGATCATTAGTGTAGAAAGCCTGTGTTAAACTACATTCCGAGGGTTTTGATGACAATTTATCTGATTAGACCACCCATAATGCATTTACGGAACCCCTTTAATTTTGCCACTAGGGTGTATTTTTTATCCAAAATATTATGTCCTCATTAACGTGTATCAAACCTAGATTGGTCGTGTGCGCCGTGTGTATTTCATGTGGAACGGAGTACATCATACGGATCGAACAAAAAATAACTTCATTCTTCCATATTACTCGTATATATACATACTCACACGCGTATAGGATATATCATGTATAAGAGAGGCCAAGGACAATTAAACTGGTTTCGCCTGGTCACCGGGTATTGCCTGCTGTTTCTCCGTCACCGCCGTGAGAATAGATATTACCAAGTCAATAATGGTATGCTGTATGGATATTAAAAACCAATCTGGATTTAATACATTACATAAATGGAATACGTAAGATGGCGGCTATAATAAGTCAACTAACAAGATACAATTATTTTTACTTATTTTTTTACAATAGGTTCTCCGCGTATACGTTGGGGTCTACTTGCTGAGTTGGTATTTCTATAATACCCTTAAGATGTAACTAGTATGAAATATGTCGGTTGCAATGCTGTTGCCCGTAATCTATAGAAAAATATAGTAGGTATCTGCCTCTGTGGAGCACTTAAAGCTACCGGTTACCTTCCGTGACTTGCCTTTATAAACGAAGAAAGTTAAGGAAAATTATCTCGATAATGGATTAAATTTTAACTTGTAGTCACTTATTTCATATTAATTCTATAAAGTTACAACTTTAATTTATTTAAAATTACGACACCGTTTACTTCATTTTAATACTTGAATGTAAGCTAAAAAATTAAACAAAACACCAACATTTATTTTAATGATCAAGTAATACATAATGATTCAACTAGTTTTTATTTTTATTTACTCAGATAAAAAATATTTTAAACACATTAAAAATATTTTTAAACTACTCCCTGTTGATTTTTGTTTCAATACATGTTTCTTGAAATAATACACTTATTACTATAATGTCTGTAGTATGGTGTGAATAATATTTGATTAACTGTTGATTACTTTACTTACACTACATGCATCTGAACAAGAATCATTATTATTTACTGCAAGGAGTATCATGCTTGTTCACATTGGAGAATAACTCAAGATGAGAACCTTTTTAAGTCTATTGCCCTCATATTTTTAACGACTTAGTTTTTCCCGTATATTTAAAATTTTCGTTAAAAATTATACATACAAACCACACGACAAAATTCATAAGTACTCTTCAGTCTAATGTTTGGCATGCTGGTGGTTATGATAGGGAAAAAAGGGAAGGTTTGCCTTGCTTGTATAGTAGTGACACAACTCAACGTATTTTCAATTAAACTCATTTTGTTCTCCCTTTCTTTTTATCCACTGTCATGATCTATTAGGCCAAGAACCACGCTAACTAGTAGATACTCGTGCCAACAACAAAGACTAATTAGACTTGGTGAGTGTTCTAGTATAGTTTTTACTACAGCCACGTGCTTCCTATCTTTTTTGTCCAAAAATGTAGTATCATTCATTTTGAAAAATACATAAAAATATAGTGCTTCCTATATAATTTATATAGAAATATAAATTTTATTTTATAAATCATTAAATAAAATAAATTCATTTTTTGTAATGTGTTGAAGTTATATCGTTTGAGCAACTATAAGCAGTAAAGTGTATTTATGGTATAACGGTGTAAATACTATAATAATTAATTTTTTTTAATAATTATAATAATTTAATAATTAATTTGTATTTAGACACTTGGTATTAAATGTCGAAGCCAAAAAATATGTGTTAGTATGTGTTTAGCATTGATAATGATAACATTATTTCCGAAGTACGTATCTGCAATTGTTTAGTCATTATTTTTGTGGCTTTTCGAGTTTTAAATTAATAATATTTTAATATAGATTTAATTTTATATTTTAAATCAAAATAGTGTTAGTAAAAACCCTTAAATTGTGTTAATCTAGTGCATTTCTATTAGAAGTTAATAAAATAACTTATCTTTTTAGATTATATATCCTTGTTACTTTTTAAAAAATTACTATTTTTTAAATTGACATCAAAGAAAATTATTTAAGAAAAAAAAGTTCTCTTGTTTCAAAAACTTTTAGGTAGTTAATAGTATCAAAGTACAGTAACAATTTGAAAATTATATAAGTTCTGTTGTACACTAGAGTTAATATTGTTTGCAACTTTACACGATTTTGTCGTGTCATAACGTTCATTGAGATAAAATAATATTGTCTGTGCATTTACCAGTTAACTATAGGATGACGTTTTACGTTGCCAGCCTTTATGTAGTCTAATTGATTATTATAGGTTGTTTCGGCTGGTAGTATAGGGGAAGAATGGACTCGTTAGTTTAAGACGAGGAAATGGTAATGGCACTTGTATTAAGTGGTCGTTGCACAACTAGATTTCAGAGAGTGGGAAAGAGAATCATCCACTGTTATTATAACCGACAGATTTTCATTGCGAGACAACAACAGGATGTAACATTTTGAAGATAACAGTCGCTCTCAGCTTTCCTCTCGAAGTTTGCTAATGATAAGCGACAACTTTAAAAGAGAAAATTTGAAACAAACACATTCTTTAGAAAATCATGCAACAATCTATATTTTTTACTTTTTTGGCGATACTGAATAAAAAATATTTTTACTGCAAAACAATAGAATTTATTGTGAAAAACTAAATATACAATTTTATTGTATTTAAGACTGTAAATAGTCAACTATTTCGAACTTCAACATTTTTTCTTCGCATTATTTTAAATGAAATATGTGTGCATTAGATTAAACAGTAGAAAATGTGCATTTATTAAAATTGTTTTTGGGTAAGGATAGTAATGCGATGCGGAAAAGAGATTTAATACATTTACGGATTACATAAAACGCTTGTGTGCGATATACTGATGAAAACACGATGTTACCAGGTTGCACTCTGGAAAAGGTTGTATGTAACAGGTCAAATGGAAAAATATATTACTAACTCTTTGTTTTACAACTGAGTAAATTTTACAGTAACAGTCTTTTGTTAATAAACTAAATACGTGTCTTATAACTAATATATTAGTATAATTTATATAATAATAAATTATCATGTATAACTTTTTTTGTACTTATTTCCCTATTTCGAGTGTTCTCGAATTCCAACAAGAAATATTGAATTAAATTTAAATCCAAAAATTAATATATACCTCTAAAATGTATGAATTTTCTTATTATTTGACCGCGATTAAAACATAAATCATAAAATGCTAGTTTCTCACATAAAGATGTATCTTTATGTGAAATTATCATATTTGCCGCAAAAATCGAGTTTGTAGGTTATACAAAATATACGGGCCCCAGGACCTGTTTACATTGGAGGTGCGCCCACTATTTTTAAACCTTTTGGAGAGAGCGGAGGGTATGAGGAACATCCGCGGATGAGCACCCTTCTTCGTAATTACGGCACTGCATATCATGATATAATGAGTTATAAAAAAATCATTATATTATTCATAATTTTAATAACAGGTAAAAAATTATAGCTTAACTAATTTATATTGTTCTTTGTTTACAGTGTTTAATATTTAATCAACCCATCATGATTATACTACCGGTATTTGGACTAATCCTGACAGCCGCAGTGCAAAGAATACATGGTGAGTCACATTAAAAAATATATTTATATATAATTAATTTGATTATCTTGAAAGTGTCTTCGAAAAATGTGTTATCATGCAGAATTTTTTCTTTAATCATTAGAGCAAACGCTATTCTCATCGCATTTTATTAACATCACTTTAACGGCCATAGAAAGCCCTTAATAAATATACACTGGACCAGATTTTTATTTAACGCTATACTTTTCTTCTCTCCAATGCTGTACAATAAACTAAAAATTTATTATGCTCCAAAGAAATGCGACTATAAATGAAGCTGTTGGAAAAAGATAGCTTTATTATATATATATATAAATATATACGTACATTTTTTATTAACCTCAGGTTTATTGGTCAGCACCGCCATTTATTAGAGAATACTTTGAATGTCATTACTACACTAAAAAAAGTTACAGCAAAAGAACTATACTTATCTATATAGATGTAACTCGCATAAAGAAGTAAAAGCCATGTTATAACCACATGTTTAACTTCTTATTCAATGATAATGCACTTTTACAAAAAATACCATTGAGCCCGTATTTTAATGTAAAGTACTAATAAAATACATTTAGTGTTTATTGTTTTTATTCGATTTTTGAAATTTACAATCACATTTTTTAGTTTCGCATTGTTTAAAATGTCTAATTAAAGTATAGAAAGTTTTTGTAGTGCAATTATCATTGTAATCATTTAAATGCTTTTTGAATATTTATTTACTGACTCTTCATTATATTAATTAAAATGTTGAGTAATTCATCACACAAACACGCTAAAAAAAATACTTAAATGATAACTAATTATTTTTATAAATTTTATTATTCTAAAACAGTTATGATTTCTTTGAGTTTATTGTCAACTAGTAAAACAATTAATTCAAAAGCTTGTGTAAAACAAAGATTCCAAGAGAAAACATTTAATCCTCTAGAGTTGTTCATTAGCAGCTATTAACTAGTTTAAGCTAACCGTGTTATTTATGTTTTGCATTTTCTATAATGGACTAAGCTTTTTATTCTTGATTACGGAGAAAATGTTTGAATTTATATATACATTACCGTTTTTGTCTGAAGAATCGTTTCGAACTTTTCGTTGTCATGAATTAAAAGCTAGCTATTTTCTCTGTTTTGTTTTTATTTTTTTCTGTGACTTGGGTGAAATGTGTTGAGGATTATGCAAATTGCTCCCGATCTCCTTTTTTGCCAGTGATTGTAAGGACGAGGGGTTACAATTTCATTACTTTCACGGCTAGGGAAACGTGGGACAGAAAAAAGTACCCCTCCGGCAGTAGACGATTTCCAGAGTTATGACGACGACTGACGAGAAGTAAAATAAACCTCATTTATCAAAATGTCTGTATGATTGTGTTTTTTTTTTTTTATCCAAGCAATAATATTACACAAACGCTCCTGTTCGTAGTTCCCGACTTCAGTGGTCTTTATTAAATGTGTTAATACTTGTAGACAGACCTCAATTATTTGAAATATGTATATTATTTTTCTGTTTTAATAAAGTAAAACATTGATCAAAAGATAGCCTCCTCTACCACCCTTAAAGCCCACAGGAAAACACGATCTTCTACCACGCAATTTCTTCACACGGTGAGGTGCCGTTCATAGCTTCGTTTATGTGTATGTTGGCCAAAGTACCAAAAGTCACGAACATTCATTTATTCTTTATTTTTTATTGTTGTTAAGTGTCGTTACTAATTGCTCTACTAGTCTATAAGGTTTGGTTATTTTTATATTTTATTGTAATGCATTTTTTTCGCCTTGCGCGTGTTTGCAAATGTAAACTTTGCGAACGTGCTCTATCGAAATCTTTATGGATCATTATCCGTTGCGTTCGTTTGCTGCCCAGTGTCCCTTTCTATCACTCTCTCAGTCATTATTTACGATATCTGTAGAGCAAACAATAAGCGTTAATGTATACTTGAACCTTTTTTTTTGGGGGGGAGGGTGGTCGTGCCTCAATGCATGTGATTGCATTGAACAATGAATGTCATCTGTAGGTAATTCATGTAGACTCTGTTTGAAGCCAATCACTGGCCACGAATTTTTTGAACTGACATAATGAATTTGCACAGACATAAGTAAATTTTCTTATAATATCAGTGTAGTCACAGATTACCTTTTTCATTGTTCAATGTGAATAGTTAATATCGTTTGATTTTAAATAAATTACTACGTTTCTTGATTATTATTTTATTGAATTACCAATAAAATTATTTAAAGACTTCAATTTTTTTTTTTAATTTTATTAACATTTAATGTATTGTATGTTGTATAATAAACTTGTTTAGTAACAGTTTCTTTATATAAATGTATATAAATATTTCTTATTACCATTCTATAGTATAAACATACTATCCTTAGTAAGAAATATGTATATTGAATTTTGAGTGACTTTCATAAACTTAATTTTCCTTATTATAAAATATCCTGTTAAATTCGTTAGTTCTTTATTAAACATAATGTAGCATATAATTCTGTCTATAAATATAATGTAGGTGCTTCATGGTTTAGAGATGTTATAAAAATTAATGAAGTAAATTTATATAAACGTTATTTTAATGAGTATTTTCTTTGTAGTGTGCAAACATTTGTACCAAAAAGTAATTTTTTGATTTATTATACTTTATGAACACAGCTAATATTTTTCTTTGTTATAAATGAAATTTACACCAATCTTTTGAAAATTTGTTTTATATTTCTTTTGAGGAATTAAATTCACAACAAGTAAACTTTATTTAAAAATAATCTAATTTTAATTTTAATTAAAAGATCTTCTCAAAAAAAAAAATTAAATTCTTTTGAAAAAAGTAGACGCCATAAAATTTGATTTTTGTAATGATATTGAATTTTGAATATAATTTACACAAAAATTAATATAATTAAAACCACTTATTTTTTATTTTTACTTTTCATAAGTATGTATGCAAACAGCGGTAGCGAACAAAATGAAATGTAAACACAACCGCGGTCCATAGAGACGTTTGTGGCAGTGGTTTCTCTTTCTACTCGTCTCCTTTCCTTGTCACAATCCCTATACCATCCTAGAACCTAATTAAACTGCGTACTTGTTCGCCTTCGGGGACTCTTCTGGTGGAGAGATGGGTGAAATGTTCGTTCGCCAAATTAAACGTACAACGAATAGCCTCTGGGTGTACATCTGCAACACATCCCTTCTTTATCCCAATATATATATATTCTAATTCCTATCATGACAAGCAAATCATATTTTAATGAAGTTTATACATACTTTATATTGTGTTTACTTACAAAAACCTAGTTTAGAGTACCAATTTTTTAAATAAAAAATATTTGGCTTTGTTTGATGCAATACTTGTTTATCGTAGCAGTCTTTAAATCCGTTCTACTAGGTTTTTATCTGAGTTTTCTTGACTTTACTCATGCAAAATTTGGTAACATTAAAAGTTATTATTTTACTATATTGAGTGTATATTTTCCGTTAAATTTAATTAATATCAATTATTTGTTTTTATTTTTAATATTTTTTTGTATAAGACCTAAATAAAATAAATAATTTTCTAATATAGCTCTACTATTTTAGATATGCACTTTTAATGTATAATTATATCAGTTAATTTTTATCGATACATGTATTAAAAATAATTAACATTTATATACTAATCATAGAAAAAAATCAAANTGATTCTTATCAATTATTTGTTTTTATTTTTAATATTTTTTTGTATGAGACCTAAATAAAATAAATAATTTTCTAATATAGCTCTACTATTTTAGATATGCACTTTTAAAGTATAATTATATCAGTTAATTTTTATCGATACATGTATTAAAAATAATTAACATTTATATACTAATCATAGAAAAAAATCAAACTACTATTTCGTCATTTATTATCTATCTACCTCTTTTTTTTATGCTTAAGTTTTCGTTGTATTTAAAATATAAAATATCTTGATTTCGTATAAAAATGTTAACTAGTGTTTCATTATCTTAAAAGAAGTTTATTAATTTAAACTAATTGTTATATAATAATTATGGTACTTAGTTCTGTATGTCATAACAAATTGTTACGCCAAGTCCTTCTATGTATGCTGTATATAATAATAAAATAGATGAAACACGTCAAAGTAGCCAGTATAAAAAGTACTTTGATTTCTATTGGATTACCTTTCGAAAAACTGGAAATTATTTAAAACTTGTACCAAATGTTAAGTTAATACATTTGTAAGCAATTTACATTTCACATCCAGTACTTTTATTTAAATTGTTCTTTTCGGACGACTTCCAAGTAAACATTTTTGAAATTCCTGCTAATAAAGTTTAAACGAAAATTCACTCAGTAATAGTGAGGCATACAGAAAGAGCAGAACTTGTTTTAAAAATGTATTACAATTATGTTAATGTGGAATTAGAGAGGAACAAAGATGCGAGAGGAAGGATGATGTAGTCTCCCTTGTAACAAATTACAGTTTCTTTTTAACGAGTTTGGGTCTTTTTAGCCGCAGAGTGGAGTTATACAATGAATTATTAAAATTATTTTTGTTAATAATAAAACGTACACATTTTGAGGTACTTTAGTATTGTTTTTGTTTTAATCTTATTGTTTTACTATTAATTTACTAACGAATCTAAGAAATTATAATTTAAATAAGTTGAATGTTTCGGCTATAGTAAAAAAAAACTTCTTAAAATAATAAGTTTGTTTGATTATTATGATTATAACTTAATATGTATTAAATCAATCAGCTGTAATTTTAACACTAAAATAATTATTTAAATATATCAATTCTTTTAGTTAATATTTTCAAAAATGAAATATAGTTTTGTAAAAAAAAAAGACTTTTTTATAATTATGGTTCTTTGTTATTGAGAAAATAATTTCAAAATTTAATAATATTTTCTAAATATAAATGAAAAATAATAAAAAAATTTTTATCGTGTTTAAGTTACTTTAAAGGTATCATTGAAATGTTTATAAAGATTCTTTTTAAAGAATCATTTAAACAATTT